GCCAACCTACACATTGTAGTATAAAATGGCTAGACGACCTTTAACTTTCAAGGTGACAACCAATCACAAACACGCGGCAGGTTATAGCCACTTGCTATGGTACTTCAAGCCCAAAGGATCTACAAACAGAAAATTATCATGCGGAGAAAGTTATATAGGCTACATTAAGTGTAGAGCTTAGTTTGTAGTTAGTGGATAGCGTGAAACTCATTGGTAGCTGGTTCGATGCAGATGTCTCCTTCAGCACCCAAACAATCATTTATCTTACCACGACCTAAGCTGGGGTAAAGCTAAAGGCATCAACAGAGTCCTTATATCACAGAAACGGATAATTAGATTGTTGTTCAACCTTATTTTGGCGAAAGTTGCAAATACACATTTATTCAAAATAAGCTCTTGACAGTTCCTTGTATATACATGTATAAGTATGTTAACTATGTAAAGCGAAACATCAACGGTTTCAGCATACAAAATGAACATCATGCATATAAGAGCAGAAATCCCATTTTGAGAGCAAATCGTTTTAGAAATATGGCAAATACAAAGTCACCCTAGTTCAACTACATATCATTGTATAACTACTCTTCTTCGAGATCTGCAAGACATAAAGAGCTACATGAAATTTAAAAATGAGGTTTTTACATATTTAAGTGAGAAATGTTTTTATTCTATAAATGTATTTTTAAATTTTTCTAATCAGTAAGCAATATGTTTTCATTTTAATTTTTTTATATAGTGCTTTAACAAGTAAGGTACCTGTACCAAATAAGGCCACGTTAACGTTTGGATAGCTGAAACTTCATAAATATTTGCGAAACGATCATGAAATGTTAAAGGTATTATTATAGGTATGTTTAGTGAACAAGCTGTATCGGAGAGCTCCGAGAACTTTTATTTTCATATAAAAAATACACATTTTATGAAACACTGTCGTTGGCTTTATTAGGAACTCACACACATACATACATACATAGACGCATGTCACGTATTTCATCCTTATTGCACCTTTTACTTTTAATGATTTCAAATTCACTAGATTTTTTTGTTGTTTTAGCTAAGCCGGATGGACCTGGACTTTTCACTCTCGCACACCTGTACGAACATGATTGCGAAGTGTTCTTCGTAGAATTTTGTATTCTCTGGATGCACGATTTACCGACATTCCACTGTTAATACTATCCAGTGCCTGTACAAGCGCTTCGGTTGACCACAGCGCCATTTTCTTAGAAGGCATATTTCGATTACAGTATCTAAAAAAAATATCACCTAAATTTGAGACGGCTCCCCTAAAGGCCAGTCGCCAGTGTTGTACTAATAAGGCCGAGTGGCCGTAATGGGAACCATTTAGCATGTGCCTTATTACGCACATCTAACCTTAAATTTACAATTTACAAAATTGAAAACATTCAAGAGATCGCTTAAAAAGAAGCCGACAACATGCAAAAACGGAGACAAATTCAAAGCAGAAATTTTATAAGGCACATGTTAAAAATCGACGCATGGCCTTATTAGGTGCTTGGCCTTATTTGGTCCAGGTACCTTAGCTATTTTACTCTAGTTTTGTCCTTTAGAACTACTATTATAAAAACACTAGTTAGCTTATTGCCTATATGATCTAGTCATCATGAACTTGTATTTTTTATCTTGTTTTGTTTATAGTGTGATGTAACACACTCACTTTATATTATATTCACATTTATTGTGATATTTTTACAATACTGCTTTTCTTTTGACAATCATGTGAACCTTAGTTTGAAATTTGGTTAAATATTCTACTACCACCACTACTACTACTACTTGAGCATGATGAAAGTAGCTATGGCGGAGAGCGTAGTTAAAGGAACAACAACATCGTAAAGGTTCCTTATTGGTGGAACTCGGAAATTGAAGCAAAGAGGGGGCACTGCATAAAAGCGCGCAGAGAACTCACTAGGAAAAGGCGAAAAGCAGAGGTTTCAACGGAAGAACTAATAGCAACACACGACGCATACATCACCAATAAGAAGGATCTGAGGCGTCTCATACACGTAGAAAAAAAATGCTGGGAAGAATTGCGCGAAAACCTGAACAATGACATCTGAGGAGAGGCATACCGAATTGTAACAAAACAAATGGCTACCACTGGATCTCCCTGCAGCTTAAGTGACGCACGGAAGGTGCAAATAGCAAGGGAACTCTTTCCGGAAAGGCAAGATATATGGCTAAGGGAACCCATCGAGGATGATATAGATCCTTTCAGTATAGCAGAGCTTGACGCGGCAGTGCAAAAGTTGAAAAACGGAAAGGCACCCGGCCCTGATAATGTCCCGCCAGAAGCAATAAAGGAGCTACTAACGTTGAGACCAGACCTGTTGCTGAGCTTGTTAAACAATTTTCTTAGGGAACAGTCTTTTCCAGAAGAATGGAAGAAGGCGAAGGTGGTTTTACTAAGTAAGGGCGGCAGGCCACCAGAACTTGCATCTTCTTACCGGCCCATCTGTCTGCTGGACACAATAGGAAAGTTGTATGAAATCCTGATTTGCGAGAGACTACTGCTCGTACTGGAGGGAACAAGCGGGCTCTCGCCATACCAGTTCGGGTTCAGAAACGGCAGAAGTACAACAGACGAGCTAGAGGCCGTGCTGCAAATTGTGGAGAAGACCAAAGACAAGTGGTGTGCACTCGTGACTTTAGACGTTCGAAATGCATTTAACACAGCCTCGTGGGGAAAAATTATGGAAGAATTGAGGAAGCAGAATATTCCCAGGTACTTGCGAAACATCGTGAGTAGTTACCTAGAAAACAGGACGATAAAGGTAGCCAAGGAAGAACTTCCCATGACCACAGGTGATCCGCTTTGGGCCCACTTCTGTGGAACATCTTTTATGATGGAATTCTGAGGATCCATACGCCAAATGTCAGAGCCATCGGATTTGCAGATGATCTCGCGTTAGTAGCCACGGCAACGAGCGACGTAGCACTGATGGATACAGTAAATAAAGCACTAGCAAAAGCAGATCAGTGGATAGAGGAGCAGCACTTGACTTTGGCTCCAGAGAAAACAGAAGCGGTCGTACTTCGCGGAGACCGAATTCGAAGGAAAAGCGTAATCTTTCAGCTCAAGGGGGTGCAGATTGTTCCCTCCAAGGCAGTGATGTATCTTGGAGTATACATAGAGTGTGAGAGAAGTTTCGGGGTACATATTAAAAGGGTGACGGAAAAAGCGGAGAAGAAAGCGGCAATACTGTCAAGACTAATGCCGAATATCGGAGGACCCAGCGTTAATAAACGCGTGATACTGAACGAGGTCATACAGTCAGTAGTCTTGTACGGAGCTCCAATTTGGCACCGAGCAGCCCTGCGCAAGAAACACCAGAAAACCGCATCCACGAAGGCACTACAAGTGATAACAGGAATTCCGCCTCTATACATGCTGGTGGCGGAACGGACAGACATTCGGAAAACCGAGGGCGACATTGTCCAAAGACGGAAAGAAGCCAGACTAGAAACCTTGGAAAACTGGCAGCTGATGTGGACCCAAACCACAGAAGTGGCTCAGTGGACGAAAAGGCTGATACCAACGATCAGATTATGGGTTGAGTGCAAGCATAGAACTACATGTTACTACCTCACCCAGGCCTTATCGGGACATGGACCTTTCCGCGCCTACAGGCACAAAATTGGCAGAGCCGCTGACGACAGATGCCGACACTGCGGAGACATAGATACTGCTGAGCACGCTCTATTTGCATGCACCAGATGGCACAGCTACAGATCCGAGGTTAGCACACTTCTAGGCACAGAAATTGAACCGGAAAACATGGCCACATTAATGCTATCCTGCACAGAACACTGGAAGGCTATTCATACGATAATTCGACAAATCCTAAGCAGCAAAGAAGCTGAAGAACGCCGCTCTGACTAAAATTGTCTTACTGTAACTGACCTGAGTAGTTAAGACTCCCCTCATCAGCGCGAAGAATATCGCATGCGACGATACCAGCGGATGAGCGGGATCGAGGGGGAATTGTTTAGTCCGTAGGCACCCCTGTTGGTGAATCGGGCATGCTCCTGAACATTCGATGCACTGTACGCCAGCTCGGAGTATCTATGAAGATTCCTAATCACCTCGTTAAATAAAAAAAAACTACTACTACTACTACTACTTATAATAATACACTCCTCAGAAAGTTATAAAACCGATAATCGTATACCAGGATAGGTTACTTGTACGTTTTTGGATTGATAATGTAATGGATTTATTAGTATTCTTTATAGTGCGCCCTGATGAATAAAATAAACATATTCGTAAGCTTTACATAAACAAAGATCAAACTACTCCGATTGCACCAAAGCTTGCAATATGTCGGTATAACCTTACGAGTTGTAATATTCTCATTTGACAAACTTGTTGCATAAAGGTACTAAACGTGAGCTTTGCTGCTGTATACTGCTGGAACCTTCTTTTGTTATATCCATAAATAGTTTTTCCTTAACTGTCATAAAATACTTCAAACTGGCAGTAGTTGAGTTCATCTTCAAAAAAGTGTCTTCATGTCATGATGACCGTAGTCTTAGGATTTGTTTTTGTTCAATCAATCTTTTAATACGCCATTTTTATCCCCCATGACAAAAAGTCATATAGATAAATAGGTGTTTCTATTCATTTATAAGTGTTACAATTGAAGACTTTGGTGCAAAAAGGTGTTAACTCAGTTTTTTCGTTTTTTGAGATTTTTAGTGCAAAAAGGTGTTAAAAGCGTGCTTTTTGTGGTAGTTCATCTATCTGGCCATAGATGTCTCTCAATTCTTGGATACAGAGATTCATAAAAGTATTAACTATATCAAAAGCTTCAATCTGTAAACTTAAAAAGGTGTTAACTTTTGTGTTATAGGTAAAAAGGTGTTAACTCCTGAGTTAACACCCTTGTTACACTCAAATTCCAATTTGTTGTCGTTTGAACACGTTTCGTGGGAGGTTTGGTTTTTCTATTTCCTGCAATATTTGGACTGTTTTTCAAATGGATAAGGTATGTAAAGTTTTAGTATTTTATTGGACTGTGAGATTATGTAGCACAATGAATTCAGTTTTTGTTTAAAAGGTAAAAATGAGCCTTCTAAAATTGCAAAGCATACATAACCTCAACATTATTTGCTCTTTATTTATTGCAGTTTTTGTATTTTAGTTTACAAATAATCAGATAAGCGGCAGAACTAGGAGAATATTATTTGCTTGTCTTTCACAAAGTCCCCTCGATGATTATTTGTCAGATGACCCAGAGGAGCCATATAGAAGCTCAGGGTCGGACTATTTACCAGGTAACTTAATTTTTGTAATATTTAATCGCCCAAATATTTTTATCACTTTTTTAAGGTGATCGATATGTTTTTGCAGGTTTTACTAAAAACTGTTTAACACATTTTTAGGAGACGAAAGTGATGATAATGGTGTTCTGTCTAAGAAATGCTTCAAAAATTGTCTGCATGAACCCAACAACGACGGCGACGATACATTTACACCACTTCCAGGGCCTAGTGGTATTCAACGGGGCTTATTATGCCAAAACATACAAGAAACTACCCATCCACCAACACATGCAAGTAAGTTTTTGGTATACAATGAATAACTTTTATTCAGTATAAAGAATTTTAAATACTCGCACAAGGATTCCAAAGTTTTACAACCTGTTTTACTGGATATGTCGGCTGTAAAGATTAATCACTTATATTTTTAGGTGATTTCGAAACCGATTCAGACAATGAACCGCTTGTCATAAAAAAAGCTAGAATCCAGACTCAGGAAGCTCCTTCTACATGATGTGCTGCAGCTAGGCATAACAGAAATGGTACCAAATAATGAAAGTCCACTTGAGGATGAAAATAAACAAAAAAAGTCCAGAAAACGAAAATCTCTTCCAAAAACATGGAAACGTTATGAAAATAAAGAGAACAAAAATAAAGGAAAGGCATATAAAACTTATAAAGGTATTGATATTGAGGCAAAAAATCCTTGTATTGGAAAACGTTTATGTAAAGAAAAATGTCGTTTAAAGTGTGACAGCAGGTTTTCAAACGAAGAAAAGGTGCGTCTATTTGAAGAGTATTATTTATTAGATCAAAATGCAAAAAATGCTTATTTGTTTGGAATAATGGAAGCATACAATGTTAAGCAGCCCTCTGGACTTCATAGGCATCGCCAGAAGTCATTCAGGTATTCTTTCAAAGTAGGAGGAGATAGTCGGCATGTGTGTAAGGAAGCAGTTATGTCTATATTAGATATTGGACGTAAAAAGCTAGATTTAATTAGAGATCAAGTATCTAGTGGTAGATCTGCCCCTAAGCGAGATGGAAGAGGCCACCATAATAGCAGACCCAGAAAAACTTCCGAGGAAAAGCGCAATTTCGTTCATAGGCACATCAGAGCATTTCCTTCTGAAGTATCTCATTATTCTCGAAATAAAAATCCGAACCGAGTCTACCTTTCTCCATGGCTATTAATCAACAAAATGTATGCTTTGTATGTAGAAGAGTGTATAAACGAAAATATCGTCCCAGGATCTACCTTTACATATAGACAAATTTTTGTCAATGATTTTAATTTTGGATTCGGTTCTCCAAAGACTGATACATGTGCAGTTTGCGATGTAGGATCAAATGAGGAACATGTTGCAAAGTATAAAAAATCCTTTGACGTACAAAAATCTGATCGAGAAAATGCAAAAGCAAACGAAAAAATCATATACCTCACATTTGATTTACAAAAAACGCTTCCCCTGCCAAAAATTTCTACAAGCAAAGCCTTCTATTTACGACAAGTATGGCTCTACAATCTAAGAATACATTTAATATCAACACAACAACAAAATGTTAAAGGCTTTTTCCACGTTTGGACCGAAGACCAAGAAAGTCGCGGTCCTGAAGAGATTGGCAGCTCACTTATGGCCTTTTTGGAGAATATCAAGGACCAAGCCATCGCTTCCGATCATCTAATTGCATGGAGTGATTCGGCAGGTGGCCAAAATAAAAAAATTTATATTGTCTGTCTATGGCACCATCTAATAAATTCAGGAGTGTTCAGAAAAATTGACCATAAGTTCCCTGAAGTGGGACATACTTTCATGGACTCTGATAGAGACTTTGCAGCTGTTGAAAAGTCTATCAGAAAGCACCAATCAATTTATACAATAGACCAATATATTTCTTTAATGGCAGAAGCCAGGAAAAAAACACCTTTCAATATTACAAGAATGGCGGACAAATTTGTTGATATAAAAGAGCTTCCAAGAAAACTTGGACTCGTCGATAGAAAAAAAACTACAACTAACGAGAAATTTTCATTCAGAGATGTGAGATGGATCCAGATTGAGGAATTTGGTATAACCAAGTACAGATATTCTTTTGATGAAACAGAAAATTGGACTATTGTTGACATAAGAAAACAGCGGAATCTCGATAGGAGGGGACAAAATGAACCTTTATTAGTGAACGTCGATAGAAGCCGACCTATTGGGGCCAACAAGTTTGACAATATTCAGGAACAGATTCCTTTCATACCAGAAAATTTTAGAGGATTTTATGAAAACTTAAGAAGAGGAGACGATTAGTTAGTCTGTGGATCTTTTGTTATTACCTTTGTGAGTTCATAATAATAAAAAAAGACTAAGTTTATTTTTTATAAATAACATCATTGAATTGACACATTTTCATTTTCCTGTCCAAGCAAATAACCGTTTTTTAAAAAGGTGTCAAGTCAGATTTTCACCAATCTTTTTAACATTTCTGATGATAAAAACATATTTTTTAACAAAACTGCCTATTCAAGATACTTTTATATCTGTATTAAATAACCTTGACTATTAAAAGTAACCATAGCACCCACATATAAAAAATGTCAGGGTTTAAACTTTGAGGCCAATTATCTCCGAACTATAAAATCTGAGTTAACACCTTTTTGCACCACAAGACTCAGTATCTCAGAATAAAACGTATTACAAACGAAGATGAAAAATATACTATAATTAATTTCACATTGGCTACAGAGGACACAAAATCTAAACAGATTAAAATTGAGATAAATTTGAGGTAATCCAAGGTATTAGTTATTATTACCTAAGGGCTGTTCAAATGAATTTAAGAATTTTTTGAAACACATAACCAGCTCATACTTACAATGATCTTGTCTAACAATTAGCCTTGAAAAAGAATGGCAAACGTTTTTACAATGTCTTGTATGAATAATAATAATAATAATAATAATAATAATAATAATAATAATAATAATAATAATAATGTGCCTTTATTCAACTTTGCATACATAAAATAAAACAAAAGAATGATATCTTGAAAACCGCAAAAGTGCAAAATTGAAAAGGTGGAGTGTTACCCTAGGGGTATTTTTCAACTCAACCTCAAATAAAAAATTGTATCTGTATCATGAACATACACATATCATACAATAATAGAGATAAATATAAGTATTAATGATAGTCATTATAACTGTTCTGTAACCTAGTGCCTAAGAGAAAGGAACTAATCATAAAAAAAAGAAAAAAAAATGTAGTGAGTTTCAGCTCATCCATTTAACTACCATAACTTTCTCAATGGAACGTAGGATTAAAAGTCTTTTGTTGCTGGTGTAGCTACCAACGTCCTATCAGCAAATCATAATACATTTTTGAAGGTAACGAAAAAGTATTTTGTATCAACAATTAATAGAACAAGAATGAAAGAGAGACAAGTAGAAAAGTATTGGGCGTAAACAGAGTCAGCATATAGGATCCTTCACACTTCAGACAGATACAAATTCTTTAGCTTTTTCTTAAAGTTCAATAAAGAGAAGTCATAAAAATCATTTGGGAGACAATTGTATAGTTTTGCTGCGTTATATGAAAAGCTGCGTTTAAAGGTTGATGTTGAGTGGGGTGGTATAACGATCATTCGCCTATTTCTAGTATATAATGTATTGATATTTTCAAACTTTGATATTCTATCTAAAAGGTATTCCGGCTTTTTGTTCACGAGAACTTTGTGGATTAGTGATAGGAAATGCAATTTTCTCAATCTATCTAAACTTAGAATGTTGTGTTGTTTGAATATATGGCTTATGTGGTCAAACTTTCTTATACTAAAACAGAAGCGCAGACACGAATTTTGTACTCGCTGTAATTTTAAACAATCATTTTTTAAAAGAGCCGGGCCATATATGCTGTCACAGTAAGATAGGCGAGAAATTATAAGGGCATCACATAACTTCATTTTCAAGCTACTATTTAAAACACGACGCTGTGGATATAATTGCTTAAGCATACTATAGGCTGAGGAGGAAATTTTATTGACATGGACACTAAATCGCAGATCTGAATCAAACCACAATCCCAAATTTTTGCTCTCATCCAATGCACATCAATCACTATTTCCTATCAGAAGGATACTATCGGTTCTTATATTGCATAATACTGCATAATAAGAATTGATAACTGAATGGAGCTTTCTCTACGTGATGCATTTGGGAACAGGCCAACAATATATCTTATGATATTCTCCGGTGCTACAGCTTATTCATGCATGCAGGACAAACAACGATAAAATATTCGGCTTTTCTGTCAATTTATTAATCCTTGCCTTGTTTGTAACATAAAATATGATGTAAATAGAGTGATTCCGAAACAGCAGCTCTTTTAACTTTGAAAATAGGATGAAGTTAGTGAAGTTGGACACTGAAAACTATAGGTAATGTATCATAAGTTCGGTCATTTCAAGTTTGGAATTTGAGTCAACTATGAGAAAATAGCGTCAAGTAGGATGAATGACTCCGCACATCTCCCGCAACTCTGTTATGAAGTTATAAAGCATAATATTCGGTCCAAGTTAGTCCCTTTGAGTTAGATATAATACCTAAAATAAAAATAAATCTGTCAAGTCAACCAAACAGACCCATATACAATTAGTCTATATTGTATAATCCCCATCCATTTGATAAAGCTATCGCTGGTTTCTTCCCTGGCCTAAGTATCGACCATCTGGCAACGCTACTGGACCACATCAGTCAAACACATCATAAAGCGCTACTATTACATGCCTGCCGGCAAAGCTGCAAGACAAGAGTTCGGCGTATGAAAGTCGCCGTAGTATCGCATCGTCCCAACAGATCGCATGTCTCGTCTACGAATATTTCTCCTAGTTTATAGGACAAATATATGTACGGGGAAATATTTGGTGTGTGAAATATGTCTGATAGGTACATACTTTTCAACCCCTACAACAAAATTCTAAGTCTAAGGCCCAATTTCACCAACGTTAATATTTGACGGTCCCTTGGACCAATGGGAAAATAGCTTATCGAAATGCAATTTGACAGAAGCTGTCAAAGGTCTCTGAATATCAGTGATTTCTATTGAAATGTTGAATAAAGTCGTGAAAAAATGGTCGCCTTATAAATAAGGGTACATTATAGATGTAATATTATGTCTTTGTGCTTTGAATTAGGATAACTTTCATAGAATTTCCAGTTTCACATATAATGGTCAGTTATGTAAATGGACCAATCAAAATGTTAGAAATAATATGTCGATTTTCTAGCTATTATATTTGGTAGGATGTTTTCACTGTTTTTACGACTGTTCATGCATGGCAATTTAGTTTTGTCTGTATATCACGTACAGGGTGTTGTACAAAATACGTACCTGTAGCAATGTACGGATTTTTGCTATTTTGCAAAGAAAAGGATATAAAACGTATTCCAACTGGTTCATCATCTTTTGTTACATCAAAAACAATTTTTGCCAATGTATGATCTAGAAATCCACACCAAATGTAAACAAACAGCACATTCTCCATTTCTGGGT